CCTGAAACATATACACACACACACACACACACACACACACACACACACACACACACACACACACACGCAGTAAGAATAGAGACAGTGCTGTAAAAACAATTAAATCAGTTTTTAAATCACAATCTGCATTAAATTCATCTGCGTTATAAAAATACACATTTTTAATCATCTGAACTGCAGATCCATCGAAATCTGATACTGATCATTGAACACCAATCATCCTCTGTAAACTATATTTGACTTTATGATTTGAGAACTAATACATACTACCTGAAACATAGTTCTTTGTTCGCTACATATGCTGTATATCATTTATTTATGCGTAATTGTTTTTATTATTTTCACTCATTTACTGCTCAAGTGTACCACTTTGTTACATTTGAACATTTCTCTTGCTTTTCTGCACACACATTTAGGTGTACAGCAGACATAAACTACCCAACAGCTCATGATTTCAGTCCTTTTTTAGTTCCCAGAGTGTCAAATAAACATAAGGTGTGTATTGGCATCTTAATCTGTCTCATATGGAAGATTGCAAAGGCGTCATATTTATACACACGGGGTAAGTGTAATATGTTTAGCATTGATGGTTTTCATGGCTATACCTAGCCAGCAAGTGAAAACTGAGGAAAACAAAGTTTCAAATGAGAAGTTGACTACACTCGTCTGGATGGCAAAAACTTTTAACGTACGCCAACTACACTGGGGTGCCAAGTGCATCACCGCAGGCTTTAGTACGTGTCTGTAGTGGCAACCATTTTTTGACACCTCGGGATCTTGAAAATGTTAAAATTTTCTTATATTAGTACATAAAGTTATATTTTGAATATTATCCTTCTGAATGTCACACCGGTTCCAGCCTGACCTTTGACCTCTGACTCACCGTCAAACACTGCCCTGCTAAACTGAGTAGTGGAGGCCAGAGGAAGGCAGGTGTAGTCGAACTTGTTGCCGTAGTTGCCGATGCTGACTTCAAACTGGATGGCGTCGTCGACGTCCTGGAGGAGCGTGGCCGAGTAAAATGCAACGAAGAGCGAGAACTTCCTCTTCCTGAGAAACTTCTGCATGATGGCGAGGGGCGGTGAAAAGAGGGATCAGTGTATCTGTCTAATTATCCATCTTTCTATCTGGAATCAGGTCCTAATCTCTCACCTCCACCACCAAAAGATCATCTGAGGGTATGTCTTCAGTTTTTTGCTCCGGCTTGTCCACCAGTTTCGTGGTAAGTTCCAGTAAAACCCGGCCTCGGTATGCCACGCCCTCCCCCTGACGGACAGAAAAAAGGGACAGACGCTGGCACTGTCACAGTTTGTCATTACAAACCCAGTCTGTGTAGATAACCATGGATAACCTTTAAACAAATACACCTCCACAGCCTGAATATACTGTAAAACATGTGATACCATTCCTAATGAAGCCTTGAGCTGAATGTTCTGATCCAACAACATCTTGATATTTTAAAACCAAAGGACACTGTGTGCTCATCTGATACAGACTGGGCCTGCACAAAAGCAGGCTAATTCTCTGCCTAATTCTCCTTTTTGTGCTCCAAATGGGTCCATAGTTTACAAAATGAACATGATATTGAATTCAAAAGGACTTGAAACTAGCCATGGAGATCATGAACGCATTAACAAAGATAAATAGGTTACTTTTCCCAAGTTAAGAGCCTCATGGGGGTCATTGAAGGCGGTGAACTCTCTGGGGCTGCCGTATAGGTTTACAAAACATGGACCAAACGTTGGCAGGAAACCAAGACTGTCATCCACTGTGGGGACAAAAAGGACATAATGTTTTATTATGGAGGGGTTAAGATGCAGAACTATGATTAGAATCAAGCAGGTATGATTAAATACAATTGCAGTGATTAGATATTTTCTAGATTTCTCCAAAATTTAACCATGATTGAAGGAGATTTGAGTTTAGAGAACAGAACATCACAACAGTGAAGTGAGACAGTGCAAATGACTGCCCAACTCTTGCACACAAAAGCGTTACAGTACAGAGAGGATGGTGGACGTACTGCCAGAGTGGACGCTCCGTGGAGTCAAGTCATCTGAATGCGTAGAAAGGAAGGATGGTTCAGAATCACAGAACAAGAGGAAACAGATGTGTTTTGAACGCCACTCAAACTCAAAGCCCAAACACGACATGCAAAACACTTCAGCTTAGCTTGTTTGAAGTACATGACTTTAAACAAGGTGGGCAACCGAGTAATGGCAGAAAAAGGTACTTAATATAAAATACTTTTAGAAAAACTTTAGAAAGTCTATGAAAGATTAAATATTTTTGTCCCTGATTATTGTTATTTTTACCACATAAACAATGCTGATAAAGTTAGACCCTTGCTGCCAGAAGCAGCATCAACACTATGTGTGAGTCAGATTTGGAGGGAAATCTGGTTGATGGCCTTACAACATGAAACAGGAAATCACTCACAGTTATTGGCAACAGAAGATAAAGAAAGGAGGAAAAGAGCTGATGAAAAACATGAAGGTGAGTGAATCACTTTTAACCATGACAAACCGTTATTAAAGATGTACACAGCCACCATGGATCGTTAAGTCCTCTTTCGAAGCCTAAAATTAAGCATTTTTGCTCTTGCCAACTTGTTGGGTTTTTTTTTTTTCCAAACCAGGTGTAATGAGGGATGTAGTGGATGAAAAAGGGTGTTTTTTGCAGCACCATAGAATACAACATAGAGTTTTCTTGAGTACTGCAATACTTCTGGCACAGTGACACAGCTTACTGCACTGATACAATAGCATAAAATAGAATAGAACATAATAGCCCTTTATTGTCAATGTACATGTACAATGAAATTGTGGGTGCTCCACATTAAATAATAAATATAAATGGTAGACTGCAGGAATTAATAGCAAAGATGAGAAATATATACGGGGATATATACAAGACAAGAGAAATGTATATAAAACACTTTAGAGAACATGTTGCAAAGTGCTTGGAAGTAGTGCAAAAATACTTGATCTGAGTATAAAGTCTGTATGTGAGTGGCCTGAGTGATGAAGGTTACTCAGACCATGGCTCAGAGAAGCATACAGTCCCAGCAGGACAAGTTCTCTACCTCTGCTCTGTACACTGTCTCATCTCCTTCAGAGATGAGCCCAACCAACAGTGGTTTAATCATCATACTTGACGATGACGTTTGTTGGGTGGGTTGGTGTACAGTCACATGTGTACAAGGCGTATAGTAGGGGGCTGAGAACGCAGCCCTGGGGTGATCCGATGCTGAGTGACAGTGGAAGGGAGAGGTGGGAGTCGGACTGATTGAGGCCGGTTGGTGAGGAATGTTCTATTACTTTTCTGGTGTTTCCTTATCATGGTCTGGTTAAAATGGCTCATTATTATTCACGTATTCCAGACAAAGAAGAAATTACATTTACCACAAGCAGTGACCAAAGCTCATGCACCTTCTCTTTTATTGCAGCTGGGGGCATCAAAGACTGAAAACTCAAGCAGTGTCAGTGTTTCCCACACAAACATTACCGAGTTAGTCTTCATGCATGCCACTGAAGAAACATCCATGCATTTTATGCACAAACCACGGGTTCATTCTGTGTTTCAAAACTTTACACTTCAAGTTTTCAAACGCTAAAACAAAGACATTAACTGAGATGTGCACATTTGGAAGTCACCACAACAGTAAAGACATGTTTATTAGATCCTGGTGAAAACTAACACACTAGCAAAGCCATAAACTATAAAGTGATGCATTCAGTTAAAGTGGTGTATTTCAAAGCTGCACACACTTGAAGGCATTCCTTCAACACAGTCAAAATCTCAGTTTTAAAAGTGTCAGTAATACTGATTGTGTTGTGTGCACAACAAAGTGGGAAGGGAAATCCTATAATATGCACCACTTGTAAGGATGGTTTTGCTTATTCAAAAACAACTTATCCAGTAGAACTGCTGTCGAAGCACACAGTCAACAAGGTTAGCAAAAATTTCACCAGAGAAAGTGGAAAAGTCTGTTGTGAACACAGACAGCAGCACCTGAGACAAACAGTTATCACATCTAATTGTTCAAGTAAACGTGTGAGCAAATGGTGTAACAACACACACACCGTGGCAGAAGTTGTTTAAAGTCTAACAGATGCATCTACTGATTCAGGCTGCAGCTCCTGAGGGTACTAAGTTAATAGCTTAAATGTTTGCAGGGAGTATCAACCACACCGATCAAACTGGGTCATTTCCTGAGCTGACGTGTTAAAAAAATAAACCGAATAAAGCTCAGTGTTTGATCTATAGTACTGTGTTCACTTTTACCCTGTAGGGTATAGAACTTCACTGTAGTCTGTCATACACCTGCCCAGAAACTTTACCGCAGCAACCACTGCAGGTCTGTTTGGTAATAACTAGCACAAAGATAATCCATGAAACAAAATGAAGCAGGCTGCAGGCTGTCAGTGTAGACAGTGCTGTTTCACTCATGTTTAAACCGGTCAAATTACACATATTTATATAAATAGAAGACAGAACTAAGGTTTTTATAGTTTTGTGGCTCAAGAATAAAGTTGAAGTTAAAGTTGACAAAAACCTTATTTTGACCTGTATGATCAGCTGAAACCTCGCTGAAAATATCTCTAAAACAGGTTGGGCATTTTCCCCAAGCTAATGCTAACTGCTTTCAGGCAGAGCTGAATGTGATGTTAAACACTTCAAACAGTGTGATTATCACTGGATGTCAGTAATCAAACCAGGCAAGTTTCAACACTTTGGTGCAGTTTAAATCCAGCCTGAACCAGCCTAATCTGATCTGGTAGAGTCTAGTTCAGACTGGTTGCGACTTGTTACTCACCATCTATCTCTCCTCCGGGGGCGGAGATCTTGGACATACAGAGGTGGGTGGTGCCGATAACGTCGTTGTGACTGGCTCTATCCCTAAAATGAGAAAGCCATAGAAGGATGCAAAGCGCATAGGTCAAAATGACATAGGTCAAAATGTATCTTATACACTAGGGCGTGGTGGGATAATTAATGTTTCCATTTCTACATGAAATACTAGGACTTATAAAGAGATAAAGTTAATACTGAGCACAACTGAGTTCAGCTTATTGGTGTGGCACTTCACAACAGTCCCAGTTCCTCATGTGGGAAATTAACTGCCCACCCCTATTTTTTGGTGTGGGTCTCCACAACAGTCCCATCTTTTAAAGAGGTCAAAATAATATTGATAATGATGCTAAGTTTGATGAACAAATGTGAGATTTTAGTTGAAAATCACCAGTCCAGAATTCTGATCCTCATCTTCTCACACATGGAAGGAAACTGGGAAGAAGAAAGAAAAAAAGATGTACTTTCTAGTGACAATGAAAATACAACTTCTTGGCACAAGAATTGTCTGTCTTTATTTCTTACTCTGACTGGCATGGCCAGGCGCTGGTTCCACTGTGGATTGGCATTCTTTTCCAAAGTCTTAGTGCAAATCTGACAACGAAAAACAAGACAATCCACATTTGTTTTTATTAACTAAAAACGTATTTGCTTTCCAGTTTTATTTTATTTGGTTGTTGACTAACAATCATTTTAGTCAATGTAATGAACTTCTATAGAGTCATATGCACCGTTTTGCCAGCAAAGTGAATCTCCACCAGAGGATCCACCAGATTCTTCCTGTTGCTATCAAAGCCAAGAATCTGCCTCATCCCATCCATGAAGGCATCGTCCACTTCAGACAGAGAAGCATATTAGGAATCTTTATGCATATATATATATTTTTCAAGCTTATCAAATGTGCATAGAATAACAACAGAGACTCACTCTGTGGCAGGTCTTCAGCTCTGAAGATCCTCAGGTTGAACGAGGCTCCTCTCAAAGACAGACCTGCAGGCCTCAACAGGTTTGATTCTATATCCTCTTTATCCTCCACACACTCACGTTTATCAGCCTGCAATCACATTAAAGTACAAATACTCACTTGTGATAATGAGTTGCACAGAAAAAGCACAACCATGTAAAAATAGAACAACTCATGTTACTTGATTGACCTCATAGCCTTCTAGGACGATCTTGTAAAAGAGTATGAAACTCACCGGTGGCTCATCTCCAGCTGCTAAGACAATCAAGCTGACCTTCAGGTAGCCTTTGACCCCAGCAGAGAGGTCGTCAGGGTCACAAAGCAGAAGCCACTTCCTCAAGAAGCAGTGCCCTGAAAAGAGGGGAGGAAGAGAGAGGTTTAAAGCCAGAAGCTTGTAAATTCAGGATAAACAAAAGCAGCTTTGGCACACGTCAGTAGAAACTTTTCACAGTTATCCTTTCTCACACAAAGCAAGACATAATGACACCAAGCTGCAACCTGTGGGGCATGTGACAAAAAAAACTTAGCTTTCTGATTGGCATGGACCAAAAAGTGATCTTGATTTTCTAAATATTATATACAATCATCACCCTGGATTCCTATTTAGCTGTAAGCATCATTGTTTGACAGACTTAATGGATTTTAACACATCAGTATCACTGATATGAATATATCTTCAAATATTTTAATTTTGACTGTCCTGACAGTCAATGATAATACATTCAAATATGTTTTGTTTTGCTTTTTGTTCTCTTAACACTTGTATAAATGTTTGCTGGACCCTTTAAAGTGAGATGTTACAGCTTGTGAGGTCTATGAATACAGCTGTCCATCCAAGCTTGCTAGCTTTAGCTAATAACTTCGCACTCCAACTTCTTATCCAGATATCGTTATTTCTGGTCCAAAAAACAAAGTGGCAGCAGCAAAAACAATCACAGAGGGTTCAAAAAGTGGTTCAGAAAACCGGTGGGTGACATCATCTAATGGTTCAGAAACATTTTCATACCTGGAAATACTAATGTGGTTTAGCTAAATGGACACAGGCAGTAGGCAGCACACAAGACTCTGACTTGCTAGTGTTGAATACACTGGACAGTTAACTGCATTTGCACCCTGACTCAATCTGACATCACAAAGTCTTTGGACCTGGCAGGTTAAAGACCGTTTTAACATTTGTCAAGTTTTCATTTGCCAGGTTGCTGTGTAGAACAGCAGCAGTGCCAATGTGTGAGAACAGCTCTTCACTCATCCTTTTTCATAACCACGTATCCAAATCAGGGTCATAGGGATGCTGGAGCCTTTCCCAGCTAACACAAGGGAAAAAGTCAGGGAATAAGCCCAGGAACCCTTTTGCTGTGAGGTGAGGTGAGAATGCTAGCTGCCTGACTAAATGGCTAAAAGCTAAGTAAATGAAAAATGTCATCAGACTGATGATCAATCTGACATAATTTACAGTTTAGCATTTAGATCTTTGTTTAAACTTTTTCAAGCAAATACACCTAAAAATGTTTAAATCATACAACCATATACTCACTGTGCTCATTGTAGATGGTGCCCACATCCATCTGTGGAAAACAGAACACAGAGACAGATGTTTGAGTTATTCTAATTTCCAAAGCACACGTGCCCCCCCTCCTAATTTATCACAGTCGCAGTCCAATATTCATAGAAATCATAGACTCAAGTTAAAGCTCTTACCTTGAATTCACCTATCACGGCGTCAGTTCTAAGCGAACGAGAGTCACATACCTGAAAAAGAGAACGATTATAACTCTGATAAAAATAAGAAACGCTGATAGTGTTGAATTTCTCCCACATGCTGGATTTATTCAAGGTAAACAAATAAAACAAAAAAAAGAGAGAAAAACGTCACACTCACAGTGATGAAAATGGGTTCGTCAAACAAGTCTGAGGGTGTCTCGAAGAAGTTCAGGAAGAAAGTCTGTGGAGGGAAATAAATGCAAGTTGAAGTTTGAGTAAAAAGTAACATGTAAAGTTATAATAAAAAGCAGTATAGTGCAAAAAAAGAAAGTTATCAAGACAAGCATACTGGCAAAAACATTTACTCACCTCATCAAAGACTGGGTTGTTCCCCTTTCTGATTCGGGTCCTCTTGGACTGCCCGGCAACTGCTATCTTAACAACAGGTTTAATGTTGATGCCCGGCAACTGTCGTCCCTCAATGACCCGCACACGAATCTGGAAGAGGACACGTGTGGACAGCAACATGTATGGAGTGTAAGTATTCCTTTAATGTGTCTTTTTTAAGTATTGTAACTAACCTGTAGATCCTGTGGTTTGTTGGGTAGCTGTTTGGGCTGACTGCTGGCTCCTCTCCTCCTCTTCCTCAGCCCTCCTTGGGTGTGGTAGGATGGCGGTGAACGCTTGGGCGTCTGGGCGGTGGGGGATTCCTGGCCCGGGGGCCCCTGAGGACCAATTATCACCATGGAGCGTCCATCGTCTGCTCCCTGGTCCTCTGTGGGCTCAAGCATCATCATACTCTCTGTATCCTCCTCGCCCAAAGTATCCAGAGAGATCACTGCACAGAAAGTAGTCCCAGGAAATAAATCTTGGGGTAAACTAACAAAATGGAGACACTGGGTTGGGCAAATGGAAACAGAAGAAGGGGAAAAAAAAAAACATACAGTGGTGTGAAAAAGTGTTCGCACTCTTCCAGGGTCTTTGTATGTTTTTGTTTTACACATAAATGTGTCAGATCATCAGATAAGTTTAGATATTTGATAAAGATAATAAGTAAATACAAAATGCAGTTCAGTTTCTAAATGAAGGTGTTTATTATTAAAGGAGGAAAAAACCTGTGTGAAAATGTGATTGACGATATCACTTAAATAGGACCTGCCTGACAAAGTGGTGTAGACGAAAAGCCAGACATGGAGCCACAACACAAGGAAATTCAGGAACAAATGGGAAACAAAGTAATTGAGATCGCTCAGTCTGGAAAAGGTTATAAAACATTTCTATAGCTTTGGGACTCAAGTGAACCACAGTGAGAGACATTACCCACAAATGGAGAAAACTTGAAACAGTGGTGACCCCCCCAGGAGTGGTCAGCTGACCACAATGTGTGTGTGTGTGTGTGTGTGTGTGTGTGTGTGTGTGTGTGTGTGTGTGATTACATCTGCTGTAAAAGTAACACAGCATCTCGAAAGGGGTAAACACTTTTTCACACCACTGCAATTATTTTTCACTATATGACACGCTGAGGTTACTTGTGACTGTGTCCAGCTCCACACTGGGATTGTTATGAGGCTGAGGGTCCAGCTGGGGAGGAGGCTGAAACATCGGAGCCGATCCCGGAGGAGGAAGGTAGGAAACTTGCAGGGTCAGCGTGGCCTATGGGAGGCAGAAAACACAACTTGTAGAAGATCTGTCATGTTTGGCTGTGTGGCAGGCAGAATGTAGGACCCAAACGCAGGGCTTGGAGACAAAATGCTTAACTAAAGGTGGCAGCTTTATTGCTGGAGAACACAAACTAAAACTAGGTATATGAACGCTGAAAGAAAACAAAGAAAAGATAAACTAGAACTAAAAATCTTGCACTCAACATTTCATGACATGGCTAGAGAACATGGTGCTTACGCAAGAACACACAGCAAATGTGGCGGCCACAACAACAAACAGAGGACCGTTTGTTGTTGTGGCCTGAGGACTTAAATACACAGGCAGGATAACGAGAGGATGGCGAACAGGTGCACACTCAGCTGGAACTAATCATACATAAGAAGGCAAAGAGAAAGTGAATGCATAGGACACTTGTATACGTCTCTGGAGAAAGTACAGTAAAAGATGATGGAAGAGCAGGTCAGCGGATGGCACTTAATAAGTAACTTAACTGCAGTGGCCTTTATGCTACCCATGCTATTCATCTGTATCATCCGGGTTAGGCTTAGAGACAGAGTTTGCCACCCTACCTTCAGATTTACTAAAACTGATGCAAGACTGAGTTATAAAAGCATTTCACTCTGTGTTCAGTTGTTTTGGTGGTGGAAACTATCCAACGAGGCCAAAACAGTTATTTAAACCAGGCTGTGATTAATGCTGTTAAGTTTAAGCTTTTAAGACAGGAAGTCGTGACTTCTATTTAGTGCCTCTACAGGCCTTTTGAGGAACTTCAATTATTTTTTTTAGCACTTTTTAGCAGTTTTATTTGTTTTGGGGTTTTTTGTGCCCTACAAGTTGGGTTAATTAAACTTAGAGAATTTCACTTCATCATACACCTCAGCACAAATTATGCATAAAACATGTGGCTCATTGGTCTAGGGCAGGGGTGTCAAACATGACTTGGCCTGGCAAAGATTCCAGTCTGGGACACTGGATCGCTTTCGGAAAATGCAAAGGAGAACATAATATTTGGACTTTTAATTGTGTAATTGTATAGTTTATTTGTATAAGCTACAACTTTTCCTACTGATGAAGACCTCCCCTGTAGCCATTTGTATTTCACCAGAGTAATTCAATTATAGATTTCTGTAGTTTAGTTTAAGCTCAAAGAGTTGTGCTGACTTTCCTTCAGTTGGAATAGTACTTCACTTTTGTATATAAGATATCTCAGGGATTAAATATGTAGTTAAACTTCTGCACACTGGCAGAAAGAACCGTTTCACTGCTCTGGTTCAAGTTTAAAGTGCAATTTGTCCCTGGTTTAAATCCTGGACGAGCCCACCGTTCTTCACTTATGGTTCTCTACCCAAACTCAAAGTGGCATTTAACCTCACCACCACCACCAGAAAAGACCTGTTTCCTGCACACTGTAATCAAGATGAGTTACCCTGTGGTAGCAGGGGTGGCTTCTACTGTTTCCTTCAACAGGAAAAAGCAGCTTAAGTGATAAGCTGTTATGTTTCTGTAAACAAACTCATCAGACTCGGCGTTTCCAACTCTGGTCAGACTACAGTTTCTGTGGAGTAGATGTTAAGAATGTGAATACCTTGACATGTTTTTCTTGATTTCTTGGCTCTATCTCACTGAATCTGTGTAAGATTTTGTTTGTGGAAGCAAACAGTTGTAAGGGCAGATGCATCAAGAAATCTTTGAAGAAACAATATTAGTTTTATTTTTGTTTATAACAGAGTTTGCTTTCTATGACTAATGAAGAAAAAACCTGATAAATCACACATTGTACATAGCATACAGTGTGTGTGTGGGTGTGCGCACATGTATGTGGCATCAATCAGGTCCAGTCTGACAGTGACAGGAAGACTTTGTTTTGGCTTCAGGAAGCAAGGATGGGGAAGAGAACAGTGTTTCATTTGCTGCTATAGGTTTGGCTGCCAAGGTGTGTGCGTGCATGTGTGTGCGTGCCCAGATCTTATACTTCTGCATCTTCTTCTTAAAGACCAATTTGAGTTTGAGCTTTTTTGGAAACTAAAACTACTGAATAATTTTATTTTAGTTGGTGTTGGGTTAGACCTGTAGCTGTGATGACTGGTTTTCTAGGCTACACCTGTATTATGTCAATGTGGGTCTCCATAGAGCAATGTTGCATAATTAGAGGAAAAAGAAAATCAAGCATTTCATCACTGAATAACCATCAGCTGCTGAAGGTTTCTCATCATTAGAAGTGTTTTTTTTTGTTTGTTTTTTTTAAAAGAAAAAGGCTCCAGTGATAGATACTGTATTCTAGGTGTCTTTTCAATGACAATAAAAAAAAAAAAAAACACATAGAATACAATATCCCAGCTGCCATAAGGACCCTCAGAGAATACATGCAGAACGGAGACAACATGCAAGCTAGGACTTTCTTGCAGTGTGGTACCAGTGCTTACTAGAGTTAATTAAATTTGACATAACCTTGCTGATATAAGATAAATAGTAGTGCTCACACACTTGGAACAAACGGAAAAAGATGAAAAACATAAAGAACATCTCTTGCTTCCAGCAAGACCTTTGCCTAATTTTGAGCTCATGAGTTCATATTTTCCAACAAAAAAGTACAAGAAATATAAACGGAAAATCCATGTTGGATTTCCCCAGCAGCACATGAACACATCAGTGCATCATCAAGTCCAAGACCCACCCACTAACCACCTGTCGACCATTTTTCTTGACATTACAGACCTGATCAGCCTTGGTCAGCAGATTAGCAAAAAACCCATCTAATAAAATCAATTGCAGTTATTTATAGTTCATTTTATTTGTTGTGGAGAGACATTTTTGGGTTTCTGATTCTTCTTTTTTTTTATTAAGGATCCCAAAGAAGGAAATAAATCAACTATGATTCAGAAATGTTGCTCACTTTATTTTAAGCTCAAAAGAGGAAACTTTGAGTCATTTATAATCGACTTGTATGCAGTTAGGCTGCAGATTAATCAGTCAGTGCAGTTCCGTGTGCTCACCCCTGTGTTGTTCCTCTTGGTGTCCAGCAAGGAGACGGTGAAGGTGGCGGCGAAATTGGGAGAGTTGAGCACATCTCTAAGACCTAGCCGACACTCCCCCAGAAACCTGAAAGAGACACACACCAGAAACACAGAGATGGATCTTAAAAAACAACTGTGTTATTTACAAAATAACATCTTTAAAGACACAGCTGGAGTTGATCCCAAGTACATTTTCCCTGAAAGTCCCAGTATGAGAATCAAAGAAATGACAACATTAATATGTCGCATGATCTGATATCGTCGTGTTGGTGTTGTTCCCAGATCAACATAGTAAATGTTGTTCCAGGAACAACACCAACACGACGATATCAGATCATCCTAATATGTCAGCCACCATTGGGCTGAAAAAAAAAAAAAATCACATAAAAATATCAGAAAGAGAGAGAAAACTTTAGGACTGGTAAATTCTTAAAAATTAGGAATGCACTAACCAGTTCAGCAACAACCAAGAAAAGCTGATGATCCCAAAATTCATTCCTTCGTTAAAAAAACAAAACAAAAAAAACCTCTTCCCAACATCTGGCCAAAGCACGAACACTCTTGAGGAGGCATGCATGCCATTGCCAAAGTCTCCAATAATGAGATGCATTATCTGGCAAAGCCTCTCAAAGAAGGAAACCCAGTATTTGGTGATATCCATCTGTTATAGACTTCAAGGACTGAATTACGGCTCTTACCACATGACCCTAACAGTGTTGCACCTGTGCCTAGTCTCTGATAAACTCTTAGTTTCCCTGTTTCCCCATTCACAGTCATTTTCTGACATCTTACAACATTTATTCCCCAACCTTGGTGGTTATTTTTGTTACTGTACAACATTGTCAAGCAAAGTTGTAACGCCTAGAGAGATCAAAGGAACATGGAAAAGCAAATACACCCCAAAATGACAAATTTGTACTTCACACATTAAGTCCAGATGAACAGAAAATCACCGACAAAAAAAAAAAAAAAAAAAGCTGTGTAAGTTCTCAGTCATCCAGGTCATGGTACTCTATCCAGCTATGAAACAAAAAGCGACTTGACTTCTTTAAGTTTCTTGAAGATGTTTCATGTCTCATCTGAGAAACTCCTTCAGTTCTAAAATCAAATGGCATTTAAACTCTAGTGGGAGTTGTCCCTCAAGAGACTATCTATCCCCACTGTGAATGACCATCTTTGATTAGAGGAGGTGGTCTGCCACCTACAACGCGGTTTTGAGATCCCTTCCACAGGCGCCTCAACCCCCAATCCCATCTTGCTTTAGGTGATCTCAATAAGTCACATGATAGGGTGTAGCAAGGTCTCACAATGGTTTCATTGGAAAACTCATGACCCATGCCTTTTTTCACACTTTGGCTCATGTGGTGAGGCACATGATCAGTAGTGGGTAACTGAAGAAGCTTCTCAGATGAGAGGTGAAACGTCTTCAGGAAACTTAAAGACGACCAATCGCTTTTCTTGAAGCTCCTTAGAAAACAAATACTTAGTACAACAATAAAGGATTTATGCTGAGAGCTGAGACACAGTCAAGTTCCACTGTAATTTGAGTGGCTGATTTATGGATCCATTCATCTTTCAGCACAACAGAGAGTGAATGGGTGGGAATTTGGCAGAATAAATACCACAATGAGGGGAAGACCTGATTCTTTGGTTCCTGCCCCTTCCCTTCCGAAAGAACTGACTGGTGTGACATCTTGATCGAGTGAAGTAATCCAAAAATAACCCACTGAGGGGTCCTCTGGCCACATCTCTACTGTGACAATGTGCAGCTCCATCTAGTCAAACATAGTATGACAATCCTAAATGTATTATCCCAGGGGTGATTTGTACATATCGCCTCTTTATCTGTCTGTTGGCCAGCACAAGGTTTAAAATGATTTACAAACAGCTGCCAGTGATGAGAGATTAAAAGTAAATATAGCCCGTTTGGAGTTTAAAACAGACCTTTCCCTTTTACTCTTCAGTTGTATTTATGGGTTTGATCTATTTTTCTTGTTTAAAACAATTATGCCTCTTTTTTTTTGGAAATCTCTAATGATAGGATCTGTCACCATCTGAGACACTTGCCTGCCTATAAAAGGAAAACTACTTAAAGAAGTTTTTTCAGGGTCATTTTGTATATTTCTTCAGTGTTTTGATGCCACATCTGAATGCATATAATTAGCATAGCACACAGTACCTGTTTCTCCCCATTTTCTCATGATCTTTAACAACACAGTGAATCTCAGCTCCAGAGTCCAGAGGAATCCCCTTCAGATCCCACTCAAAACCCTGACGGACACAAAGGAAAGAAATGTTTAAAAAAAAAGAGTGAAAATGGGATCTTATAGGCAGAACATTTTAATTATGATATTTTGTAATATCCTTACTGCACCTTTATTGCATTATATTTGTGAAGTACTTGCAAATTGCAAATAATTTTTTTGTCTGGTTATTTTGCTCATACAGAGATGATGTCACAATTTCACCAGCTCGTAATGTTGCAAACTTACTAAATGCACTGAATGTGTTTTTAGGGTATGCTAGATAGGTGGTAAGCTAACCCAGGGGAAAGCCAATTCAGGGTTGATTTCAATTCCCAAAACATCATTTATACAGGCTTGTGTAAGTAAAATCAAACAGGTTTTTTTTCTGACTAACGTTAGCTAATGCTAACTTTCATGTTAATTGCAAATTGCTGACTACATACAGCAAATTTCTATCTTAAGCAGTTACGTTAATTATTATAAATTTCCAAGTCAGATCTAACTTTCAGGTAGCAAATTATTTTACTCACTTTGAGCGGCCTGATGTTGCGACCAGATATGAATAAAGAAGCAGTCAAAACTAGCATTGTTAGGACCCAATGGTAGATTAATGTACCATAACAACAGACTTACCTAAATTGCAAGGCTGCTGCCATTCTAACAAATAAAACATTATCTTTATATCTTTACTAGATCTTTTTTTGTTTTCAGTTATTTTTGTCTGTATTTTGAGTTTCTATATGAATCTATGGATGCTTCACTTTGATGAGGACTCCAGGACTGTATGCAAGAGGAGGACTCATCCTGCATTTTCCACTTTGAGTTCTTTACCAAGCAATGCCTTACTTTTAAATTAGGTTATAACTTGTTCTCACATTAATAATTAAAATATACTTAATATTTGACATTGCATTATCACACACTTAGGAACTTTAACAGATGATGGGTTGATGAATTTGTGGCTTAATGGGGGACTTACCTCATTCCACACAGGGTTAGGATTGTTTTTGATGACCTTTGTCTTCTTCTTGGACCCTGAAACAGATATAGAAAATGGAAAATGTAATGTTTGTTTGTCAATACAGATATTGACCTTAAGTTGTGTCAGAAATGAGAAAAATAATTTTTAACGCCATCTCGGAAAACCTGAAAAGTCTCCTTTTTGCAGTAACCAACAACTTAAGTTAGAAACCTGTGTGTCACATATATTTGCTCTGCTATTAGCTCAACTAATAGTGCAAACTTTACTTAC